TTCTAGAAACTAATATATTTTCGCTAATCTCATATATCTCATACTTATTTTGGCTCTTTAAAACTTTTTAGGTAAAAGTACTACCTTAAAATTTAAACTTTCAGTGTTAATTTTAATTGCACTATTAAATTCTAACTAATTCTAACCTTAGGTTTTATGTAGTTTCCTATTAGTGATTTCATGATTGAATTTAAACAGATATTTAGAAAATAATCCTGGATATCCCAGGTAAAATTAATAAAGCATGGTACTTTAACCTCTCTAAGATTTACAGTATGATTGGAGCCCCACAGCAATTATTGTACCAGGATTGTCATAATGCCACTAAGCTGGTAAACACCACCCTAAAATTGGATTTGAATGGCAAACTGCTCAAGATAAAACCAATGGTCCCCTGAATTTGCTATCTTGCTCCATACAGCATGAAGAAATTAGAGACAAGAAAAACAAATTCTTCAGGTGTGGCATTGATGTTTTACAATGTCCTTAGGTTCTGTTATTTGTCATTATGTGTTGGTTGTTAGTAACAAGTTGCTAACAAGTATATTTAAAAAGCTGGTTAGATTTGATAGAATGAAAAGTAGATTATTGATTCTAATTTTACTCTAAAAAATCAACGACTCCATCTAAGCTACTTACATAGGTATACATTTTATAAATTGATAGAAATTTAAGGTTACTTTTTTTACACTTCTTATACTGTATATGCTTTTAATTCTGTTAAGGTATTTTTATATTATGATACAAATTCAATGTTATTTTTGTTATACTTGATATATGTTTATACTTGCTTCTAATATTTTTCTACATTGTTATAATTTGAGGTTATTGTCCTTATATTGTTCTTCTGTTTCTATTTTTACATAAGATATTATCTATACAGCTTATACCTATACACCTTGTTCATTTATGCAATGTGAATTTTCAGTCCTTAAATGTTATGTAGGTTAATAAAGAAATCATATTAGTAAGGTTATTCAGGTGTACATAGGTATACTTCAGAAAGATAAGAAATTCAAATTCTTCAAAGAACTATAGAACATGGCATTTGAAATGTTTTAATAAAATAGACTTTTCTTGTCATGATAATCATTTGCTCTAACAGCACCAATCTAAACGCAATAGGATGAAAGGCATTGAAGATTCTTCATATATAGGTGCTTCTTTGTGGTATATAGTAGTCATTAGAGCAAGAACTTGCCCTTGCCTCAACTACTGACAGTATACTGTCTAAACTAGATAATCAAGACCCAAAGAAATGCAACTGCTGAATTACCAAGACAGTTTAGATAGTCCATCAAAATTTCCTGCTTCTAAAAAAAATCTGTCAGATATTCTAGGCTTGTAAGCTAAAGATCAATGTCCCACTGATGCAGAGGAAACATGCGTGACTGTCTACAAATATAGCAGTTTCTATCACTTCTCAAATATTTTGCAAGTTACAGGCTTGTTCTTTCTGCTTACTCAAGTAATATTATTTCCTTCTTGGCCTTTGATTATGATGAAGACTAGACAGCGACAATTACATTCTCATGAATCTTTGCAAAAGGCATATTAGTTACTAAACACTGGACTCTTCATGAGAGGACAGTTAATGAAGTAATCTGAAAATTGGTCAATTACTTTGGGACTGAACATTGAGAATGTATTTTTTACTTGATAATTGTTCTTGTTGAATGTAGTTTCAGTTTTGTTAAAGCTGATAAATTGGCTTTCTTTTAGGACAATTATTGATGATAATTGTCATTGTATATAGTTTTGTTGTATTAGAGTTAGAACCATTCTTCTTAATAGAAATGAAAGACGGTGTTACAGAAGAATATCTGTGGTCCGCTAGCCAAAAGGGAGGAGTGTTTTGGTCCAAGAGACAGGGTTTTCATGAAGGACGGACATGAACAAGGGAGAGGCATCTTTCCAAGCCAAGAACAAATAATGGATGGTATAAGTGGTGACTTCGTGACTCAGTTCAAGGTCCCCCCTTTGACCCTTAACATTTTTTCATTGACTTTGCTTGATAATAAATGGTAAAAAAATCATTTATCATTCTCTTAATCAAAAAAATTATGTATTCATGGAAACTTATACTTTAAGAAAAAGGAATAAAATCATGTATTATTTTGAATGATATTGGTGTTTAAGAAGTTGATCTACATATTTTCCTAATAACTCTTTTGACAGGTTTGGCACGCAAATGTATGTTTATGAAAATGCAAAGTGTATTATACACACACAGCTTTAGAATATCATTATGATATTTAATTAATATTCTTTACATAATAGGTAATAATTCAGTTTCTCTAGCTGAAGTTTTGGATTGACAAATGATATTAACCATCCTCTTAATAACTGAGATGCAGAATATATTTTCCTGAAATTTAAAATGGATACTTTAATCGGTAGATAGGATAAGCATGTCTTTCATCAAGACCTTGATGCTATTTGAAGACAACAATGCATCACGGGGTCTTAGGAACTGAGCAAGATCATCTAAGTATGACACAATTTCTGTATGTATTTGTATGGGCATAAAATCTTCTATTTAGAAGAGTTGATATGTTAAGTTAATATTTCACTGGGGCTGCAGAAATGGATCGGCAGTTAAGGCTACTTGTTTCTCTTTCAGAGGACCTGGTTTTGGGTCTGAGCATCCATATAGTAACTAACAACTATTTATACTTCCAGTTCCAGATATTCTCCTCTCCTGCATAGGCTCTAAATGCATGTATTAAACAGTCATTCATGAAGGTGAAATCCATTTGCACAAAATTAAATAAATAATTCTTGTTAAATGTTAGACCTAATGAATGCTGAGCTTATTGGATCACCCTGTGCATAATGAAAGGGCCACATGATACAACTACACCCCTAAAGTTGCTTTCTGGCATGAAATTGATTACATATCAAGAAACTGACAAGAACATGCTGACTGATTTTTACTCTTAAATGGACTTCAGAGAACAGTGGATGCTGACTTGAGTTGTTAAAATACACAAAGTTATATTGGACAATAATCTGAAAACATACATATTTTACTTAAAGTTTATGTAGTTTATGGCAGGTAAAATGAAGTATTTATTTATGTGCTGGAGTATGTGTCTAGGGCTCAATCACGTCAACATGTACTCTACTACAGAGTTGTATGACAGCTTTGAAGCTATATTTTTAGGCTACATGTTGCCAAGGATGAGGTATTAGTTAAATTATGGAGCAACTGTCTTCAAGCAATATTCCAGCAGGCTTTATAGTTGGACAGATATAAATACGGATATGGATATAGATATGAAGATTAGACATGAAGAAAAGATTTTGACTATGTGGGGAGTTTGGGGGAAATTGTGAGGAGACTCAGTAATGAATAAATCAATGCATATATGTGTGAAATTGTCAAAGTTTTATTAAATATGAGATAGAAGGCTTGAAATAAATAATGATGATAAGACATTAAAGACAAAAATATAAGAAATATATTTTTTCCATGAATTTAGTCTTTTTAGCTTTTTTCCCTCAGAATAATGTAATTGCAGTAAATGCCTGAAAACTATTTGCCTAATAAAAATATTTTACTTATTGAGTAAATTATGATATTTTATTCACAAATTGTCATATATTATTGGAGTTTTTGATGTTTTTTTTAACCTCTCTCATGTATCCAACTATTAACTATGGCTTTCAGCTTAGTGTTATAGATTCTAGAGTTTCATGGAACATCTGTAAAGAGACTATCCTCTCTTCTTATAAAAGGAGATATTATAGCTATTAGGATTGTTGATAATGTTGGTTTAGACATACAAATCCTGTTAATTAGTAAGCAGAGGACTCTTCTGGGACAGAAGGCTGTTTGATAAATTATTTAGACTACCGACAGTCATGAAAATTCACAGTTTCAGTATGACATGCAGCTTTGTCAATATTGTAGATAAATGTGGTTAGCATGTGTCTATACTATAAATTTTACCCTCTCATTGTATATCATCTATACTGTTCTTTTCCATATTAGATTCATGCCCATCCAATTAATTATGCTAACAGTAGTTTAAGTGTCAAAATTTCAGAACAACACAACAATGTCATTTCTATGAATCTCCCACTGTGCTACTTCCATGAGCATGACTCTATTTTCATAAAAAAAAATGTGAAAGAAGGAAAAGAAGAATATGATCTAGATAAAATAATAAAAAATTTGCATAGAACATTTAAAAATAGCAAATTTAGAGTCTAAAATTTAAGGTTCAACTATTTGGAAGGTTTAATAATTCCTCAACTTTTGGAACATCTAAACATTTTGTATTTACCTTTCTAGTTAAAATTCAACAAAATTTAAGAATCAATGAATGAATATTTACAAACCCTAAAAAATTAAGATGGAAAGATTGCTCTAAGATATACATAAAATATTTAAAAATTTTTCATATGCCAGTTAGGACCAGGTACATATTTATAAAAATTCTAGGGAGATGAAAATCATGAATATCTGGCCCCTAAGAAACCATTGTATACTTATAGGACTGTCAAGTTAAGGAAGAATGTGAGTTGGTTGACACTTGAGTGCCCAAAAGAACACCTGCTGCAAAATATCAACTTCCTAACAGGTAAATAGTGAACAGAGAGTGTTACCTGTGAGAAAAGAAACAAAGAACTCTTTTGCAGGTTTTCCTAGGCAGCTATTGTATAGGGCTCTGGTCAGACAACACACATGACAAACTAAGAGCATGTTTATGTAGCTTTATCTCTTTATATATTTTAATACTGAAAATCACGTCTTATGTGAAGTCTCCTGTTAAATCAGAAATATCCGGGAAATACAGCAAAATTGTGGGCAGAACTTCAGGGAAGAAAAAAAAAGGGGGGTCTCTGGAATGATAGTAGACTGATTCATAAATGGCAAATGTAGGACCTTTTCTAATGAAAATGAAAAAAGAGGTCTATAATTGCCATAAGTTTGGCCACAGTCCCCAGATTTCACTCATACATACTAAGACTAAGAAAACAACAAAGAATAATTTCCTGCTAAATTTTTATTGGAGTGTTGAAGGTTCTCTTACAACATCATTGCTCCATTGAAATGACATTAAAGGTAAATGCTTTCTACTCCGCCTGCAATAAATAAACAGATAAATGATGTCAGGGAGAGAAAGATCTAGCCTAAAATACAAATATTTTCTGAGATATCTATTAGTTTTTTGGATATCTAACTGGGTTAGTGTTAAGACGTTTGATGGAGAGTGACTTTAAATAACGTTTGTCACAGAAATCAAGGTATAGAGAACTTTCATGTTTTCGATGTATAAAATATCTTTGCCTTTTGGAAGTCGGTGGTGATCTCTAGATTTTAGGACTGTGCTGTTGGCAGGAGGCTATTCATTTGTTCCCTAGTGTTCAGCCCCAAAATAAGCACACAGAAACCATATTATTTAAATGACTGCTTGGCCAACCATTTAAGTGCAATGCTAGATACCTCTTATAACCTAAACTAACCCATCTACATAAAGTTGCTCATCACCCCGAGGTCGTGACCTACCAGCAATGTTCTAGCTGGGGCTTGTGCCTTTCTCCTCTGGCAACTCCATGGCTTGTCACTGACTCTGCCTTCTTTCTGCCAGCATTCAGTTTAGTGTTGCTGCCTAGCTCTACTCTGCCCTATCTATAGGCCCAAAGAAGCTTCCTATTAACCCATGGTATTCACTGCAAGCAGAGGGAATATCACATCTTTGTTTTAATGATAAAGTGTCCTATTTATTTTGTTGTGCTGATGAACCTTTAATTTATGCAGAAAATTTCTAGAGGTTACTTGCCTCTTCTTCACCATCCTCCGCAGGTGGGCCTTCTGGTTTTTCTGGTTTTTCAGGTTTAGGAGGGCGAGGTTTCCCCTCTCCTCCTTCCTCAGGTGGGCCTTCTGGTTTTTCAGGTTTAGGAGGGCGGGGTTTCTCCTGATCTCCCTCCTGGGGTGGGCCATGTGGTTTTCCAGGTTTAGGAGGGCGAGGATGATGTGGTGGTTTCTGTGGTGGTTTTTCTTCTTCACCATCATCCTCATCATCTCCAGGTTCTTCACCTTCCTCATCTTTCTGGTGCTGTTGACCTTTGCCCGGACTTTTTTGCTCTTCCTCTGCAGGGACATAGATCCATGTCAAAGAAGCTTACTTTTCTCTTTCTGTTAGATTACCCTTCCTAAATTTATGAGCCTGATTCTTTTTGAAATGTATTTTTATATATTTATCATAAAAACTTTCTAATGGCTCAACTCTTCAGACAAATATTTCTTCTTAAATTTGAACATAAAAGGTGATTTTATTTTCATTACAATTCCCAGACAGAAGTGATACAATTGAAAGGATTTTTTTAATGATATTAGTTAGAATTAGGCAATGTAGTATAATGTGAAAACAACGCTCTATTCTTAAATGTACCATGTTGTTTTGGGTACTATAATTCTGTGGAGAACAAAAAGAAGTATAGGAAAGAGACTAAAAGATGTTCCATACCGTTTTCCTGCAGTGATTTTGTGTGTTTTACTTTGCTTTCGGTGCAAAGCTGGGTGAGAAAAATAAATTTTAAAAAGATGAGAAAGCCTGAGATCTGTGAAATTACATATCTATCTAGTGTGGAATCTTATACTTCTAAAAGGAATCAATTGGAAAAATTCTTTGAACAACCCATATTGTTATGGAAATTTTTAAATGAAGACACTCAATATGCTCAGCATATGTAAGCCATTGCTTCCATCTGTGGAAGAGACAAAATATTCCTGGCATAAAAGACTGGCTTTCTACTCTTCCAGTTCATTGCCCTCTTCTAGGTCCTAGAGACAATGCAGGGGAGCTTTCCTATATATCTCAGGGTAAGCTGTCACATGATAACTTCACAAAATAATAAATTTGTCAAATGTCATAGTACTGTATAGTTACAGAAGTAAAGAACACTTAATTGGTTAATATAAGATGAATCTGGCCCTACCTAAGAGCTGAGCAGAAGATTCTTCATTGATGATCTCTAGAAAATAAGCACAAAAGCAGTGAAAAGTTATTTACAAGATAGTTCAGCTGGAAATACAAATGAATTTCAATAACATCTTCATATCCGCTAAGGAGTATTTTATTTTTTGAAAGTGCTATGGATACTGCTTCCAGAATGGTTTCTATGATCAGGAACAAAGACTATTTTGTTTCTACATATCTCTGGCAACCTTTACTGTTACTCTTCATTCTAATATTGGAATTTCAGGCTGACTAGTTCATATTCTTTATGTTTTTCTTCATGACCTTAATTTGTTATATGATATATATCCACAGTTATTTCATACATGAAGTAAGTATAATCATTGCTGTAAATACTTTGTGAAGAACAATGATTATTGCATGTGGGTCATTAAAATTGAGAAAGAGGCCCAGGAAGATATCACAGTGTGTAAAAGTGTGTCTCTCACAATTTGTATTCAGTTCCTGGAATTGTAGAAATGCAATTTTTTCTGACAATATGCTGTCTTCTAACTGAAATGTGAAAAAATATTCAACCGTTCTCTCTCTCGCTCTCTCTCTGTCTGTCTCTCTTTCTGTATATCTTTCTCTCTCTCTCTGCATGAGTTTGTGTTTGTGTGTTGTCTCCCTCCTATCTCTCACATACTCATACATGTACACACACATATACACAGACAGTTCGACATGCACACACGTGCTCAAAAATAATTTAAGAAATTATTCACTGATATTTCTAGATGATTGTATATAGTTTCAAATTTATAATATTCTTTCTTGTTCCAAAAACATCCATTAGATACCTTTGCTTCTTTCAGTTTTTGCTCTCATCTGTACAGAAAAGTTAGCATTATTTACTATTGGCTTCTCATAACTCCTTGAGAACTGAGCTTCCCTCTATCAAATATATCATGATTCTGTGCATCTATCATCCCCCACGAAAAAGATTATTTCACAAATGCAGTCATTCAATTTTGTTGTAAAATAGTTCCCTAAATTTTACTATAAGCAAAGACTAAGATCCAATGCCAAATATGTTTTCCTAATCCTTTACTTCAGTTTCTTATTTATCGTTTTACATTTCTCCCAGTCCTGTATTTCAGTGTGTTGCCCAATTTCTATTTCACTGAAGCAATGTCTACCCTACTTCATACCTGCATTTGCTCTCTGAACTGAGCTCAGAGCCAACAAGGCTGCTGTGAGTAGGACCACCAGCATCTTGGAGGAGGCTTTGGAGTTGCTCCCAAGTCTGTGCTGGGAGAAACAAGGCCAGAGTTTTTATAAGAAAAATAGAACAAAGGCACTTTTCAGATCCTTACTGGTGACCTGACCTTTTGTTTGGGACATGAGCCTAGCAGGATATAGTAGAGAGTAGGTTGTGACTGTCTCGCTTCTCAATGCTAAAATATGAAATTTGCACAACCATGTTGGTGTGATTAAGGCATCGTCAAGATATTGGAAATAAAGTTGTTATTGTTTAAGCTCTAGTTTGATATGACTGTGATGCCTATTATGTTTGTTGTAATGAGAGAGAATTTGCCTCTCTGCCATCATGTATATTTTTGTCCCAGTTCTTCCTTTCATTCAGGCTAGAGATAGGTTTTGTCTACTTTTCAATGCAACATCTATTCATGGTTTTCCCCACATGTTATCATGTATATAATCCAGAGATGAATGTGTTTTTCAGTTCTGCAGGGAGTTAGGGCATCAAGGAGGAATGCATATAAGAGACAAACAAGAGTGACAGCCTGTTTGGGCACACAAAGGCTGTTCAGAATCCCCAGGTCAGGTTCACATTAGAGAAGCTATTTTATCATAGACGTAGAAGACTTCATAGACTGTTCTTCTTCATGTTCCTCTGTGTGATAGAAAGAAAACTGGCAGTTGAGATTCCAAGTAACTGTAGGAACAGGTAATCACAAAGACATCCTCACTAGTCCTCATGAGCATAGTTTCACTTGTTTTTCAAAAATTGATTAGCAGATACCCAGGTGTGGTTTAACACACCTTCATCCCAGAACTTGGACTCTGAGGCAATTGAATCTGTGAGTTCTTGAGCAGCCAGGTTTACTAATGAGTTCTAGGACTTTTAAGGCTGGTACACAAAGTACCTTCTCAAAAAAGCAAAGAAAGAACAAAATGCTTAGCAGACGTTGTATTTAAATGCGTCTTCAAATAATACTACTTTTGTTTTACTCTATGAGCCTATTTTTTCTATTGTGAGAGGTACAAAACCGCAAATATAATGAACTGCCATTCATGTCCGAAGCAATATCAGTCTTTCATATTTGCCTAGTTTTTTATGGGTTTAATAGAAATTTGAAGAGTATGTGGATGAGGTAAAGCAATAAGGGCCACATGGATGTTAATTTAGATGATACTTCACTCACATGAAACACTTTGCTGTGTTGTGTATATCAGTTTACTTGATGCTCCATTTGAAAAATATGGAGATAATCTCTCAAAACAAAAATACTAACGAAAAGTCCTTTGCTGTAGATGAGGTGAAATTCTGTAATGTAAGCAGCTGTGGTTTTTCACTCCCTCAGGTGATAATAATTGTATTCTGAATGGTTAGTGTATTTGCATTTGTTAGTTTACTCTGGTTCTATGAAAATCAGACACATTCTCATTGGATCCATGAAGTCAAAATTTAATTATTGTGAATAATGCCTAATGTTATTGTCAGGATAGTTTTCTATTCTCTGCAGACACAAGATGGGCAGGATTTGGAGATGAGGGATCCTGACCAGGTCTGGCCTTGGTGAACTTTTTTCTGGGAAAGTCAGAAGAGGAGAGGAGAAAGTTAGGTATATATGTTCATGTGTGGGCAGCTGAGGGGTTGGCTCTTCTTGCAGAACTCTGCCTTGTCCATATCTAGGTGAGTCCTGGAATAGAGAAGTTGATTTTGCCAAATATTAGACAACTTTGATACCTTTTCTTGACCTTTTTCAGTGTTAGCAACTTGTGAAAGAGATCATTGTTTCAGGCTAGAAAAATATCACCTAGAAACTCAGTAGTAATAATAAAAACAATTTGTGGAGCAACTGAGGAGAAACACTGTCAGTCATCAATGTATTAGGTGGGTCAAGAAATACACAATGTGCCACTGGCTCATAGGAACTTGCAGTGGTTGAAGCAGTTGAGGACTGGCTTTTCCATATTATACATCTGAACCTGTTCTGATTACAATCATGAAGGATTTAAATTCATCAACTCGTAAAGTTACTACCATGTCCTATTTATTACTGAACTACGGAAAATACCCACAATATAAATCCAGTCCATACTGAGGTTCCATTTTTTACTTGTGTAGATTCAGTATTGATGTTCATGGGATGAGTCCAGATTATCAGCTGATTTTCACTCTCAATGACTTCCTCTTTGTTCACATTCTCATCAGCCTTTGCTGCGGTTTTCTCTAATCACGGTGACTGTTGTGACTGATGTCAAGTGGAATAGCTTCACTGCTTTAAGCTGTATATCTACGAAAACTACGAGTGTTGAATGTGTACAAATTATTTATTAGCTCTCTTTAATTTTTCCTATTTTGGCATACCCACTCAGGGCTTGAAAAATGTCTTGGCTCATAATCCAGAATTTAAGAGAAAAATCCTCTCAATGATTTTTTTAACTTCTATGAATTGAGAGTTTTATAGATTCTGAATATTAGTCTCCTATGTGATATTCAGGTGGTAATTGTTTTTATTTTACTCTACTAATTATTTATTTTGCAGTGTGGGACCCTTTAATTTCATCTAATCACATTTGTCATTTGGTGCCCTCTTTTTTTCCCCTTTTTATTGCTTTATAATTAATACCATTCAAAATTTCCACTTCCTCCCCTCCTCCCATTTCCCTCCTGCTCCCCAACACATCGTCCCCCCTCCCTCTCCATTCCTAAGAGAGGACAGGGTACCCTGCCTTGTGGGAAGTCCAAGGCCCTCCCCTCTCCATCCAGGCCTAGGAAGATAAGCCTCTAAATAGACTAGGATCTCAAAAACCAGGTACATGCACGAGAGACAAATCCCAGTGCTATTATCATTGTCTTCTCCGTTGGACCTAATTGTCAGCCACATTCAGATAGTCCAGTTTGATCACATGCTAGTTCAGTCTCAGTTCTGCTGGCTTTGGTGAGCTCCCATTAGATCAGGTACAATGCCTCAGTGGGTGGACCAACCCCTCGTGATCCAGATTTCCTTGCTGATATTCTCCCTCCTTCTGCTCTTCAATCGGACCTTGGGAGTTCAGTCCAGTGCTCCAATGTGGGTCTCTGTCTCTATCTCCATCTGTCACGAGACGAAGCTTCTATGGTTATATCGAGATAATCATCAGTGTGATAATGGGGCAAGGCCAGTTCTGGCATCCTCTGCTCTGCTGCTGAAGGACCTAGCTGGGGACATCCCCATGGACATCTGGGAACCCCTCTAGAGCCAAGTCTCTTGCCAACCCTAAAATGGCTCATTAATTAAGATATCTTCCCTGCTCCCATATCTGGCCTACCTCCAAATTAACATGAGAAACTATATAAATGTCACATATATATTCAACATATTCTGAGATACTATCTTAGCTGCTTGGATGTACAATATTACGGTTAGGGCATTTACTGCAAAGTGAATTTGAATTCCATCTGTTAAAAAATCCAGGATTATTGAAGGAATTCAAGATGGTGGTTGTTTCAGTTTCAAGCATTAGATATCATGGTATCTAATTAATTCTAATTAATATAATGATATAATGTCAGGGAAAACAAGGAAACAATCCTTTCTGATTTTTTCCCAATTGGAATGAGCCCAAATTTCCACATGTAAAACTGTGTTCTTTTTGAGATTTTTCTTCCTGAAAATAAAGCAGGTTATTAGCTGATGGCCACTATGTTGGGTAGACCTTCCTCGGTTCCATGAGGAGGAGCATGAGAAAGTTGGTGGTTGACTCTCTTGTGTCTTCACAACTACACCCTCATGTGTATCAATAGCAGAGTGCTTTGCCTACAGGTCTTTTGAAAATCCTCTTCCTTTTTCTTCTCAATAGTACTCATGAATATTTTGTGTCCTCTATCAATCAACCCAGTATTTACCATCTTACATCATTTTCACTTCTTAGGAATCCCCTTTATTCATCTTTTGAATCAATATTTATGTTTTTATTTGGGTTTACTTTTACAACTAGGCCTAGTTTACACTCAATTTTTCTACTCTTCCCTCTGTTTCAAGTGTTAATATTATAGGGATGAGCCATAATAGGTAGCTCTAACCTCACCTTTTTAAGGTTAATTTTTTTATTTTTTAACCCAATATTTAACAACTATGTGTTGTTTATTCTATAAGCCATCATTTGGTTGTTGTAGGTCTCACTGGATATTGTCCTCACCTCCATTTTGTTTGTCTTTAGGACATACCTGAATATTCTCATGAACTATTGAGTTTTTATAATTGACTCTACACAATACTTGTATAGTTGTTATGTTTAGAGTGAGGTGTGTGTGTGTGTGTGTGTGTGTGTGTGTGTTTGTCTATGTGTTGAAGAAACTTAAAGAGTATTTTGATGAATTTCACTCATAGAGTTCCAGGTGATTGTGCTTCTTAAGACAGTGCCCTTATCCAGTGTGTACCATTGCTCCCATGCTATAAAAGTGTAAGTTTGCATGTGAATCCTCTGTGAACAAGTGTTGAGAATATTATCATGGGAGCCTAAAAGTTTCAGTTTTAGAACTTCCTCTCAGGGTTTAATTGGATGTGTTACAATAAGCTAAAGGGTGTGGGTCAAAAAATATCAGGTTTAAGAGGTTACTCAGATAAGGGTCCATATATCCATATATCTTTTTTCTTTCTTTCTTTTTCTTTCTTTCTTTCTTTCTTTCTTTCTTTCTTTCTTTTTCCTCCTCCCCCTTCTCCTCTTCCTCCTCCTCCTCCTTCCTCTTTATTTTTATTTCTATCAGTTTTTCCCATTGCAAATGTTCCCATATATATCCTTAAAACCAGCAATTCCCCAGCCCCAGCAGGTTCCAAGGCTTGATTTATTCTGTCCCATAATGAATCTGATAAAGGTTTTCATACACACACACACATACACACACACACAAACACACACACACACACACACACAGAGAGAGAGAGAGAGAGAGAGAGAGAGAGAGAGAGAGAGATAACTGTTAGCTCAAAGGTGGCTAGTGCACATCACGTGAACCCCATAATAAAGAAAGTTAATTAAGAAAGTAAAGAAATCATCAAGGAGTGAATTTTAGATGGGGAAATTAGTGTGC